AATGCGTATTCGTGGCATATGTGTGTTGTATGTATGTTAATTTTCTTCTCTCTCTCTGTTTTTTTTTTTTTTTTTTTTTTTTTTTTTTTTTTTTTTTGCCCTTATATTTAGACGCAATGTATGCGCGCAACATTTCTCGTATACATTGTACGCGCTTGCCCACAAGTGTCTATGGAAGCGCTCGAATATTGAAACGTTCAACGCGTTCCTTGCTGCGAGTATTTAGTATCCTTTTCGGCAAAATACGAATTTTCTTCACGATTCATTTTTATCGAAACTGTGTTTCTTTCAGCATTATCTTCGCTGCAATTCGTTCACTACAGTATTTTGCTACATGCGTTCATTCGTTAGAAGAAAATTTTATCTTGCCAGATTCGAATTCGTCGCTCTTGGTAACTGACACAAGAATTGATCAGGTAGAAATTGATCATTGAAAGTTAAACTTCGTTTAAAAAGGTACACTAAATACCGTTTGAAAGATCAAGTGACAAGTTAATTTATTAAAGCATGAAAAAGAAAGCTGTTCACATGGTATTTCATTCTATCTTGTACTTATAATATATTAATCGTTACTTCGTTACCACGCGTCCCCCGCGCATGTTCATTCACGTAGCAAGGAACACGTTAATAAACATCCCAATGAAACAAAACAAATATTGTCGCGTACGCGTGATCACGCATTCGGAGCCGAAAGAGGGGAGATCGATCGCGCGCATACACACACGACTCAAATCGAATAAAAACGATACAACTGGTTTGATTCGCGAAAGAAAGATCGTGAGATTCGCATGGAAAAATCGTCGGACTACCATTTTCTTCAAACTTTACAGAGAACAAGAAAATGCAAGAGAAAGAAAAAGGGAAAGAAACGTGAAAAGAAAATCTCGAGTCTCGACTTTTTAGGCCCTCGTGCGTCCTCGCGCGAACATCGACATCGAGATGCTTGTTTTCTTTTTTTGTACATCGCCCTTAAAGGGCGCTCTTTTCTCGAAAGTACGATATATCAAAGTTCCGTATTTTACACTTTCACCAGCGGAATTTCTCTCGGTTTGCTTATTTTCGTAGAAAATGGCGAAAGTGGCTCTATTCGTACCTGTCGCGAACGGAGCGGAAAAACGTGAAAATAGTGGCGTCTAAAATCGTAGAAAAACGATGGAAAACGTGGTAGAAAAAGTTCTTGCTTCGAGAACGCAACTGTGTATCGCGTCAGGTACGACAAAGAGTTATCTTTATTCGAATTTTTTCTTCTTCTTTCTTCGTCATCATCTTCTTCTTTCTCTTCGCTGCAAGCTTATCATTATCATCCCTTCAACGTGGTTACGTTCCTTAGGTAATTCACGTGTATAACGTATGCAACATCGCTATAATAGTATATACACACAGTACAATTACGGATTAGCGTTCACATTTATCATACCGATAGACAATATTAATAACTTGGTTGTATTTCATCATGTACTCGCTGCTCTAACAATTCCTATGTACTCTCTAACTGCTAAACGTTAACTAAAGTTTTCTGCTTAACCATACACGCCTTGTGTTCTTCTATCTCCATTTTACCATTGTTCTATTTTTACGTTTGCGCCCGCTTGCTTGCTTGCTTCGCTTGCTTCCTGAACGCGTACATTCTTAAAACACAAGTACCTCTAAAAATGAAATCCCTCTCGACGATAGGCATACTATTGTAAGTATGCGTCGCTCATACGAAACTCAACTCACTCTCGCGACCCTTTCTCGCGCGGGGAAATTAACCGTGTGTCGCTTACGACGATTAATCTAGTCGCGTATCGAATAGCGATCGAAAGGATCCACGGTTTTCCATAAAAAGAAGAAAAGAAAATGAGAAAGAAAGAAACGAAGGAGCGCGTGCGTCGCTCGATACGATTGGTCTGTTACGTTGGATTGTGTATAATATATTCTTCGGTGATCAGTCCGTTCTTAATTGATCGTCATCGTGTAACACTTGGAACGAAAAGTGGGGAAAGGTGAAGAAAAATAACAATACGGAGAAAAGAAAGGAAGAAGATGCAACGCAGGATGTGTAACGTGTTCGAACACAAAGAGAGAAAGAAATACGCGTAAGCGGAAACGAACGTGTGGTTACAATGTGTCCCGTTTCTAAGTTCATCTCGTTTTGGCTGATCGGTGAAATCGCGCGTACCGTCCATTTCTCGAATCGATCGTTCCTCCCCTCTTTGAAAAAGGCACGAAAAAATCTTCGACTCGCTCACTCCGTTTCTCGTGTCTTCTCTTAAAACCTAAAAAACACGCTGCTGCTCTCTGTTTTCGACACGTCTTCAACGTCACGTTATAGAAAAATGGTTACGAGGGAAAATTGTGTGTTTGCGAGGATCACCGAAACAGGTGACAGTGATTGCTCCCCAGTGTTTTCAGCCTTTTGCGTTTCTTGTTATTTTTCTTGCTTCTTCTTTTCTTCTTCTTTTTTTTTTTCGTTTTTTAATATACAGTTCCTCAATTTTTGTCACGCTCGCGCGATTCCATTAGAATATACATACATGGAGGTGAGAAAAAGAGGAACACACGGGATATTAAAAAAGTGTACACGCGGTAGAAAAAGTATGTGTTCGTGAGTCGACGAAGCGTCTTGAAGCATGCCGGGCACAATCGTCGCGAGAGGTAGGGGATGAACGATCCATCGAGCCGCTTATCTTTTGGTCTACGACACCGGATCCAACCGATCAGCCGTCATTCTTCTCTTTGTTTTTCTTTTTTTTTTGTCACGCTGACACTACTATATTATCTACGAAGGAACAAAAGTCTGGTTACTCGGTATTTGGCACAGATTAAACGGAATTTTCGGCCCGCGTGTGCTCTCTCGTCTAAACGCGGTGCAACGAGAACGCTCTTTCTCCAAGTGAATAACAACGTTTTCTTACATTTTGTTTTTTTTTTTCTCTCTTCTACTTCGTTAGTCATTCTCTTTCTGTCTAGAAGTGTCACTCAAAGTGGTTCGCGGAAACAACGACTCTCGCGTCAGGGTTTCATCGTGACAGTCATATATATCGCCTGGATGCATATCTTAATATGTGTGTCAAATTATTAAGCATTACGGCATTTGTGTGTATAATATACATACATACATACATACGCATACACACACACGCGCACACATACACACATACGATATGTTATGTATAGTTGACGTATATGTGTATAGATCGTGTACTGTTCATCGAATCGTCCCTCGTTCAATCTCTTTGTCCCAGCGAACAACATTCGAACAACTGTGGTAAGCCCAGTGTGAACGTCGGAAACGAAAAGAAAAGGGGAAAAACAGTCTAAACGAAAGAGGTCAAGAGGTGAGAACCTTCCCCTTGGGTCGTCAGAAAAAGTGTCTTATTACGTGTATATTTATATCATAAAGAGATGCTTCTTCTTTTTTTCCTTTTTTCTTTGAATTCTCATGTAACAATGTAAAAAAGAGAACGTAAATAAGTATATATATATACACATATACTATAGCAAGTATACTGCATATATACATATATATATATATATATTTACACGTATACACATATACATATACATATATGTATATACACTTTCCTTTTTTTTTCTTTATCGCGGGAGAGGAGGGGACGGGGGACTTTCCGTTTTAACTATTATAACGTCTCAATGTATATACGTATATATATCATGTGTACATATGTATACATTTTCGGTACGATACAGCATACGCAATCTTACGATCTAGGAATAATAATTATTACTGTGGTAGCAAGTCGCCTTAAGTCTAAGAGACAAAAGAAAGAAAAAAGGAAAAGAAATGAAAAAATCCTGCCCCGTACAGCACACGAGGAGAGAAACGGCCACTTTGCTGTCTCGATTCGCGAAGGGATGAAAGGACGAACGGGGGGTTGGTTGGTGAGTTAGAGGAGCGGGAGAGACTGACGGATTCGACCCGGTAGAGTTGGAGAGGTGAGTGACACAGCAGGAGAGAGGGAGAACCTTTCGAGATTCGAGGGGAGGATCGGCTGTGGTGAAGAACAGGATTGCATGTTGACGAACGTGTTCTCGTTCGGAATAAAAAAGAAAAACAAAAAAGAAAGGAAACTAGACTCGAACGCGAACCGAGAGAGAGGGAAAATATATCGGTGATATTTACAAGAGCTAGTAAAAAAGGGTAGATGGGTGGTATAGTATTAAGTGATGGCGATGGAGATGGTGATACAGGTGAGGGACATCAGGGGGGTTCAAGGGAAACATTTCGACGACTCGGTGGCGAGGATCCTTTCGTCGAGCTTCGACTTTTCGGCCCTACCTTCGTTTCGAGTTTCAACCAACCCCAAACCCCCCTCTGCTACATAAGGGGTGTGTGACTGGATCGATCTCGTTCGATCTGTCTCTCGGTGCGATTTAACCTGTGATTAAATCGCAACTAACTGGAACCTCTATCGGCCAAACAAACGTTAATTTTTATTCGATCTAATTTTCCTCTCTCTCTCTCTCTCTCTCTCTCTCTCACTCTCTTTCTCTCTGTCTTCTCTCTCTCACGAGCGAGCGAGCGTGCGAACGAACGAACGAACGAACGGGGAACAAACAACAGTTTTGGCGCAGATCTCGGTGGATGTTGCGACAGATCGGTGTACGGTCGAAACGAAGGCGGACAATGGGCAGTAGGAACATACGAAAACGCCGACCGAGCAACACCGATACACATGGTCGGTCGGCGGTTACAACACCGAACGCAAGGAGGCCTTCCCGAGCGTCTTCGAGGAAACGGAGCCTCCGGCTCGAGCGTCCAGGGTGAACGTAAACTGTGTCGCGGAAAAGATCTTTTTCTCTTCGCAATCATCTTCATTTCGATGACAACGACGACGATAGTCCTCGTCGTCGTCGTCAGCATCATCTCTTTCAATATTCTTCTTCAGCTTAATTCTTCGTTAATTCTCGTCTCTCTGCTACTAGTTTAAACGTACGCGCTTTTTGTGTACACACATTTCGAAGGAGTTCCTCTTGATGTCTCGATGCGTCGCGGGTATTGGATTGTTCGTTAGTCTCGAGCGGAGGCGAGCTCGCCGTGGCGAACGTGCGCGTTCAGTTTGCTGATCGCGACACGCCTTTCGATCACGAAGGCTTCACAACGATCACGCCGGGCCGCTGCTGGGTCTGCTGCTGTCTGTGAAACTGAAGGAACTCGGCATGCAGTAGCCGTTGCTTCGCTGTCGCCGATGCTGTGCCGCTCGACGTCGTCGACGATTTGCCCGACGTGTTGTTCGCCGTTTGTTTGTTAGTCAACGCCAGCGGCATGTCCTGCGCTGGCTCGTCGCTGAACAGATGGTCCCCTTCGAGGTGACGTATCGCTTCAACGATCGTTTCCAGATTCTGTCGGGAGGTGTTCGCCAGATAGAGCCTCGCCTGCGGGGAACCGTCGTCCAGGGTGTTCGACGGTGATGGCAACCTGTAATTAACACGATTTTTTCTTTCTATTAGTACAATCTACATTTGTTTGTCGTACGTAGTAATTATTACACGAGTCGTTTCAAAATTTCGTCGAATGGTGGTACTGAGCAAGTTGTCGTCCCAGATAGCACACGACGTCTTATTTTCGTGAGCAGTGAACTCATTAGCGAGCTCCAGAGTGGAAACGAGCTTGCTTCTATTCGCGAGTAGGCTGTGAACAGCTTGCGACCTGTTCGCGAACGGTTCGGGCCAATGTGGTGGACTCGGCATTAGAGACGTCCATTTTACGCCCATTTTTCATCTGAACGTCTTACTGAATCGGGAATCGGGAAAATTACGTCTTTAAGAATCTGTCATAAAGGACTGCGTCAGGTGGTCTGCACATGGATAAAAGACTCACATGGAAAGACCACATAAAAAAGAAAAGAAAGCAACTTAACCACAAAATGAGTACTATGCACTGGATCCTGGGACGAAAATCGAAACTTACACTAAACAATAAACTACTTCTGTATAAGGTCGCCATTATTCCAATTTGCACATATGGGATACAACTCTGGGGATGTGCCAAGAAAAGTAACATAGATATCATCCAAAGGTTCCAGAACAAAGCACTAAGAACTATTGCTGCTATATGCAGATTCTCTACATAAAGATTTGGGCATGCTTAATATCAAGCAACAAATAGGAAAATTCGCTACAGCACACAAGAAACGAATATTAAATCACCCCAACGAATCCGTCAAGGTTCTAGACCATACGCCGCAACACAGAGGACTGAAAAGGAACAAGCCAACCGATTTGCAGAAGTAAAGAAAGAAACATTATATATAAGGTTAGCTACGGAGCGTTTACCGCATGCAAGCCATTTAATCCATCAAATTTGCTGGTTAGCTCAATGAAGCTAGTTGTAGATGTAATTTAGTGAAATAAAAAAAGAAAAAAGAATCTGTCATGGATTATAAGTACGGTGAATCGTATTTTCCGGAAGAAAATAAAGGACGAACGTGAAAACTTTAGGGTTTTGTTCCAACATGTTTTCAAACCAGTTTGTAACAGTTAGCAGTTTGCGTATTATGAAATTTTCTTACGTAGATACCGAAATGAGATGCTCTGTTTCTTTGTAGTTTGAAATTGGCTCGATCTTGTTGAAACAAACCTTTGGTTTAAACCCGAAATAAGTTCGGAATAATAAAGACTGAAAGCGGATCTAATATGAATAATTTTAAAGAAACAAATTAAAAAATGTAATTAACAAAAAAATAAATTATATATTAATATAGACATATTCCTTTAAGTGTAGTAATGAAATTATGCACGTATCAACAAAAAGAGTATTTCTCAAATGAATGGATTTTTTTGAAGTACATATGTACATGATTGTTTTTCAGAAAATCATAAAACTGTAAACAATTCATCTAATAGTTGCAATTTGTGTAAATGCAAGCTTCCAGAGTTTCAACTTTAAGTTTGTAGAAAAGTATCATGCGTTTGTAGTTTGTTTCCGTGAAAATTCTCACGTTAGTACGATATTAGACATTGAAACGCTAAGTAGAAAAGAATTTCCGGTAATACTGTAAAAATAAAGGACAAAATTGAGTTCTGGAAGGATAAATAAATTTGAAGGGAAGCTACTTCAATCGAGGGACTGTCTTTTACGATAAAGGCACATGGTCATCATAATATAAAGATATTTTAACAGAAACATTGTATATCTTTTCAACAGTTATAAACAGACACAATACGGTAGACGATATTTAGAACGCATGCTATGCAATAACAAAAAAATAAGATTAATTTTAATTAGATAATTAAAAGAAAATTGTACCAAATATGGCCTTATTTTGAAAACCATTTACTTCCTTCCAGGAAAAACGTATATTAATACAAACTAAGAAATATTAAACCTAATCTCTACCCATAAATATCTTAATGACGTCTTTCAAAGAGCTACGTTTGACCTAACCGAGACTTGACGAAGACGTTTTAAAGACGCGATGATTTGTAACATTGGACGTCGTTTAGATGTCTCTTTGACGTCTAGGCTTTCACTGGACGTTTCTAAGACGTCCCAAATGTCTTAGACAGACGTCTTGAAGACGTTCGAAAGACATCTGTGTGTTATCTGGAGTTCGTTTCTGCTAGAACTGAAATTGATGTGCACACAGTGCATCCTGAGTTTTTATTGGATCAGTGTAACACTTTGTTTGCTCATTGCTACAATGTACATACAAATGTGATGCGATTTAAGAACGTTCACCAGGGTGAAAAAAAATTGCTCCTCGTGTAGCTACTTGGATTTATACAAGGTGTTCGTGGTATATTGGACCAGCGTTCTTCTCACATTACGGTAATCTTCGTTCCTCGAAAAACATTGCAAGAATAAAAATTTGACGTACGTTATCACGTTTAACCCTTTCGCGACTAGCGCCGGTTATATCCGGCATACACTAAATGCTTCACACTGGCTGGCGCCGGTTATATCCGGCACCCCCTAAGCGCGTCGCATTGGCTCGCGCCTCAACAACTCGAAGTGAAGATTTATTTTAAAATACAGAACAAGGCCTCAGCAACGTTCCCTTTATCCGATACACCCTTAAGTCCTCCGCTGTTCCAACGAAATTCTCTAAGATTTGAAAAAACGCGAGACACTCTTAATGCGTATGGTGTGCACTAATGGCACGACGACCCGTCCGTTAGTGGCGTACTGATGGCTAGTTCCGCCGTTGCGAAAGGGTTAACTATGGAAAACATTAACCCTTTCGCGATTAGCGCCGGTTATATCCGGCATCCACTAAATGCTTCACACTGGCT